ATTCGAAGAAGCACGTAAATGCCTCAGAGCTTCAATTGTGTTTTATGCGCTTTTTCAAAAACGGCGCTCAATTAGGGCGTGTTTGCTCTTTGATAAGCATGCAACCTTGATTCGATCTATACTTTGATCATTCGTTAATGCGAACCAAATCTTATGGGCTATCGGCTTCTTTTGATATCGCTGAGGAACGTATCCAGCGGTTTATTTTTGCTCTTTGATGTGTCGTAAACCTAAAATTGTCACACACTTTAATAAATCGTATGACAAAATTTCAAGCTTCCCGGACTAAAGTAGATCCACTGCTTCTAGGTATTCGTCGTCTCATTAGTTTCTCTTTGACCATCATCCCCTGCACTTTCATGCTTTTATGACTACCTAGAAAGGAGGGATTAATAGTCGGATCAAGGGCTACGTGGAAAGAGCAGCAGCCAAAAGAAAAATGGAATGGAAAATTACTCATGAGCCCTGAAAACATATCTGAAAGACATTAGTGTGTAAGTGTGTGTGAGAGATTTTTTTTTCCTTTTTCTCTTTTAAGAATAGTAATAAAACAGTTGAATTGGGCCTTGAGTCGAGCGATGACCCACCCGCGCGCCGCGCCTCGTCAACGCGTACGCAACGTTGTCAAATTTCGGTTAAAAATGGTCCTTTCACTGCATCACCTGACAACTGATTAAAGTTCGATTAATCCGAGTGATCCGGCACCGATGGCCGGACTGTCGAGAGGTAGCCGAGATAAAAAGGGAATATTATCATCTCTCAATATGGTTCGTTCAACTTACTTGCTCAACCCAGTTCGATTATTTATGAGCGTTTTGATACTATCATGTGGCTTTGATAAGAGCCAAGTACTTGAACCAATGAACCAGTTCGTCGCCCCGTGCACTTCTCTCAGGGCAGCGTTATCAGCTGCTCCCTCCTTTTGTCCTTTAAACGTGGTTTTCGTCGAAAATAACGCGCCATGTGGGTGGGGGCAATGATTCATTCGAGCTCGCATTGTTACAGTGTAGCGGGATTCTGCTGGAAACTCATCGGCGTTTTCAGAATTAGGTCGCTTTATCAACGCTTCAGACCGAACTTGAAACCCCGAGAACAGGGAAAAGTCAAACTGTGAAAAGATGAGGCAAAAGTTTCGTAGAAAACAGGGAATTTCATAATAAAAAAACGATTGACATTTTTGAGGTATCGTGACCGTTGAGTCTAAATTCTCGAAAGCTTTCAGCACCTGATGCCAGAAAACATTACAGTTTGGAATTTTCCTTTTTTTTATCGTCACGTTGGTCGCTTGTTCATCGGGATTTTTTTTGCCTGATCAGTGGCGAGGAGTGAATGATCCATTATCGATAATTTCCCATCTGAAGCTGGGGTAAAAAATCGATTATCGAGGTGTAAACACCCTGTATATCGATCCTTTTCCGTAGATTTAAATGGTATATCAATCGATGTATCGCAAAGCACACAACGAAAATGTGCCCGATGCTTCGTCAGCGTCGCGGCGGGTCGAAAAATTTCTCATCAGTTCGAAATTTTTTGCTTTCTTGTTCTGAAAGATTTTCCCACGAAAAAATCTCTCGTAGTCGGTCGAATTCTCGAATTGCGAAATTAGGCTAATCTCGGTTCTGGCTTTCCGAATTTCCAAAACACGAGGTTTTCAAGCGCGTAAGCTTTTTCGAAACTCGCGGTTGAGCAAGGAGGAGACTGTTCGCCGATTATTTTCAGTGTTGGGCTGAACGTTTCTCTGAAGCGGAGAAGTCACTCACCCGAAATTTTTGCCGAACGGGGAAAGGAGAGCGGAAAGAAATTGTTTTCAAGTGACGTTTGTTTTCGTTCGGGGCCCGAGGCCGATTTGCAATGCGGCGTGTTTACTTAAAACACTTTTCAGAGAGCACTGAACTCTCGGCTTCGCTCATACTTAAAACAAACGCCCCGTTTATTACGTCGCTCGGAAAAGATTCGTGGAACCCATGGGAGTGACCGAAATGTGACCCAAATTTCCCGCGCACATTACTCACCACCTGCGTACTTCAAGTGCTCCTAGTCGAAGCTATCAAATCGATCGGAAGAATAGGACTACTTAGAACTCGTTTCCTGCAGACATTAATTTTTTATTGTTTCCTTAAAATTATGGATGTAGGCGCGTTATCATCGCGGTGACTGGCCAGTTTCACAATCTACCTAAATCGCGCCCGGAAATTCAGGACATTAATGCATTGATAGCACCACGCCGTTGCCATAATCGTGCACTTTAATTATTATATTATATTATTTTAAGACACTTGCAGATGCACAATTTTGTGCAATTTTGTAAGATTAAATTCCATGATTACTTTATCCAATAAACTCTGGAACCCATAGAAGAAATAGAAAATCTAAATTTTGAATTTTGAAACAAAAAGAAAAGTATCACGAGTCGAGCATCCGAGTTCGAGGTAAACTCTTTTCCTGGAAATTTTACAAAATTCTCTGCAAAAAGAAATTTCATTCTGTAATTTTTTTTTTTTTTTCGCATTGCTGATCGCAGAAATTTCCGAAATTTTACCAGTAAAACTGGACTGATCATCCATTCATACAATGCTCAAGGTTTCAGCCATCATTTTGCAATACTTCTCGGGAACTGCAATATTTTTTGAGCCTGAACGATTTAGAACATTCGTCATTTTTACGTGAGAATCTTGTCCAGGTTAAAATGAGCCGCCGAAGATTCCTGTGTTTCCGACACTTTCTTTTCCGCTCAGTTTCAACAGTCGTAAATCAGCCCTAACCTATCTATATATGAGTGGGCGTCAACAAGTTCCAACAGCTGAATTCAAAACCATTTTTTTCTGCCACGGGAGGGAAAGGCATTCGGCGCGAAAGGTGTCATCAGGGTTGCGCACTCGAACTAAACCTAATCGATTTATTTCTGAATCCTCTCCATCAAGAAACATCAGAAAATATCGATGGAGCCCATATCGAATGTGCTTTACCGGGTGTTATAAACTGCGTAGTCCCCATCCGAAATGTTGCCTTTTTTTCCTCGGTGGAGAAAGGTGAGGGGCGGAATGCGAGGGTAGAAAAAAAATCAAATCGAGGGATGAAAAAATATTGAGGGCGAAGAAAGGAAATAAAAATGAGAGTGGTGCGAGTTTCGATCGAAATCAAAAGGGAAGCAGGTTCCGAACGATCGCTAGGGCGGATAAAAACTTGAGGGTTGGAGAGGGATGATCCAAAATCGACCTTGAGAAATCGACAGCTGGGGTTCGACGAGCAACTGACGCGACGCGGCGAACTCTGTAAAAACGGACCGCGGGCCCATTTTTTTTTGTTGTTCACTTTTATCTTCGGTTTTCGCTTACCTGCATTTTTATGCTATTGCGTTTTTACCTGTCTCCGTCCCGCTTTGTTTCCCGGTTGAAGGTGATGAATGCAACAGCAACAGAATGACTCGTCGAAAATTACGTTCAGAATTAACGATGTGGCTAAATCCTTTCGTTTAGATCTCCACGAGATAATTCGGTTGGGATCCTCTTGTTTCTGTTAGAATTTCTTTGGAACTCTTCAACACACGCAAAAAAAAAAGGAAAAAAATCCTCCACCATACTCTGTAAAATTGGATGCATTTATGCTGGAAGGAGCCATGTACAAATGAATACAATGAAAATGACACCTTTTGTACATGCATAGCTTATGCTTGCCTCATTGTTCCTTTCGATTTGTGCCTAGCTCCCTCTAGCATAAATATGTCCAATCGAGGGTCCCTAAAGGAAAATGCGGAGATGCCAGAAAAGTAAGCAAGTATGCAAGTTTTGTAGTCCTTTTAAAAAAATTATGGCTTAACTAACAAAATTTCATGCGAAGAAGTCTCCATTTTTGGCTCATTCATAAAAGCACCTATCTGCTGGGGAAAACGGATGGCGCATATGATGTTTCTTAAATAAGTCAGTAAGAGACTCCTGATCGCAAAATGTAGTACAACTTGGGTGTTTTGGGGTCAGTTTTTACTTTAAAAGCTTTAATTTACAGTTAATTCGAAGTTTACCCAAAAACAGTATGGCATCCCTAAGTTTCGGATAGGTGTAAGCCGAGGGCAGGGGGTATGTGCGCGGAGGTGTTGGAAAATGGTATAAATAGCCGGATAAACGTGTTGGAGCACATGCGCGGGATATTATTGGATACAACTGGAAAAATTGGGGCATTTTGGACGGCAAGCGGTGACTGCGAGTGCCTTACCGCACACAGCATACGCAATAAGTTCAACTCTGGCGGGAGGGCAATGCTCTGGAATCATTCTAGAAGGAGACACACGGAGGGGCGGGGGGCCGGGGTCGCCCCCTCCCCATAATCCCCCACTCGAATGCGCGCCCGCTCCGCGAGGGGTTATTGACTCTCACTTTCGCAAAATGAGCCGCGCTGCGCTGGAGCTGGGCCGTCCTGAGGTCGTCAACAACAGAAAACAGAGAGGCGGGTGAATAGCCCGAAATTGGGTCACTCGATAGGCAGCCAGAGCCAGGCCGGGCAGCCGCGCTAACTGTACTCCAAGCGACTTACGTAGCCAGACTCGAAGCTCCCTGTAGTGTCAGTCGTGTTCCCGACGCTCGCTCGCTCGCTCGTACGCTCGCCTCGCGCGTTCGTCCGCTGAGTTCACCCCCTCAAATTACCAAATCCTCTGTGATATCTCTAACTAGTGCCATCGGTGGACATGTACCTCTAAGTGTTCCCCTTCGTTTCGTGTCGTGCTACCTCGAAATCCGTCTGTTATGGGATGCGTGTACGATAGTATCATCAAGTTGATCATGTCGCCAGCATGTCAGGAACAGTACCAGGAGTTGACGCAAAACATTAACGAGTCGTTGTTGGCCAAATCTTTGGCGGTGCCGCCCAAAGCGGATGATAAGCCCCCCGTACGGTCGGTGGGCAGGTGCAAGAAAGTGTCGCGTCTGAGGCGCGAGATTGAAAATGTGTTGCCCGATAACGAGTTGTGTATGGACGACAGTCATTACGAGGATCATCGTTGTTCGCAGGGATTTTTCCGGAGGAGCATCCAGCAGAAGATCCAGTACCGCCCCTGCACCAAGAACCAACAGTGCGCTATCCTAAGGATTAACCGCAACAGATGCCAGTACTGCCGCCTGAAAAAATGCATCGCTGTTGGGATGAGCCGTGATGGTGAGTTATCATTTTCTGTATTTATTTTATTTTCCGCGCAATTGGATCATCTTGTGCCGTAACTCTTGAACAATAAACAATAGCACGGCTGAAACGTATCATTAGCATTATCAGGTATGATAGTCATAAAACGTACAATATGGACGGAGATAAACAGAAAGGAGCCGAGATCAAACCTGAAAAAAAGGTTTGAAATTATATCCCCCGATGACACCCAATCGTAGATATTGATCTATCTCCACGTCCATTTTCAAATTTAAAATATTTTTCTCATTTTTTAGCTTTGGACAGGAGAAGAAATGCGAGTAATTAAGCTTAAAACTACTCCTTACTCCTTCTCTTCATAAATTGCACTTTATATATCCCTGACTAATTCAATCCCTTTGATAGTAGTCATCAGCCTTTATAAATACACATTGCAAATGGAGCTCCTAATAAAAAGTGCCCATTCAAAAATCATCAAGCATTCAATATTTGACACTGATGATCCACTTGAGCAACACAATTAGTCCTAAGTATTTTCTCTAAGCACGACATAAATAGTTAAGGAGAGTGTATTTTCCAAGTGGAGGAGCAACCAATCTCACAACGATTTTCAACGCTTCTCACTTCACTTGATACGCATTTGAATGCTTTCCTTTATTGGTGCTGGCCGTAGGATATAACCATAGTTACATTAACTTAGCGGGCCTCTGGATATGAATTAGCTTTGTTTATTTACGTTGAAGATAGAATGGTACAGTTCAATGAGCCATCGAGTCGAAACCACATTTTCTCCCTCTTTTGGGTTTTGGCCCATCTAGTTTTGTTTCTTGATCACACTTAACCATATAAGTATTCAGGCATAATCACTATATCATCATCATAGTAAATGGGAATTTTGAAGCTGATAACTGCCTCCCC